GGGGTGTTTAGTACCCTGTCAGAGCGCTGCATGACAAGACTGCTATCCCCAGTGAAAACACACAGGGTTTCCAGCAGAAGCACGTGTTTCCATGCCATTCCACAGAGACTGTGCAGCCATATGGCCTGTGAAGTCCTGCATAGCCTGTGTTTCCAAATGCTTCTCCCCGAGGGATGACTTCTGCCTTTGTGCCAATGACCTACACAAGTAGCAAGCTACCGGGACACTGAGTTGCAGCTCCAAGACAAACACAGTATTGGGAACTTAAGTGTTAGCTCTCACATCTCATGATAGGCAGGAGGATGACCCATCTCAACATATGAAAGTTTATTGCAAGATGCATATAATGTTGCCCCTTTTAACACAAAGTGGTTTGCCAGTATTCGGGGTCTTGTGATTCCTCTTGGTTTACAGCATGCAGTCATGCTCCCTGGACATCCCAGGGATAGCCAGGAGGGGTCATCTCCCCCTCCCACATCCAAGTGTGCCCCTCCACCCGGCCTTCTGCCGCCCAGGGATGCCGTGTCTTCTCTCGCTGCCTTCACCGTAAAACTCTGCTGCAGTTGCTTTTATGGTCCTCATTGACTCCTGGCTTTTAACAGCTGTTTTTTCCCCTCTCCATGGCTCTCTGCTGTTTATCAGACACAGCTCTGTTCCAACCACTCTCCAGCCACCAGAGTTCAGTTTATATTCCAGCCCGAGCGTGCTCCTCCAGTCTAGGCATTAGCTTCTATTGTTTTGGCTATCACTAAACCAAGGAGTGTGTATTTGCTTCCTCTCTTGGCCTCAGTGAAACGCTGCCAGCAAACCCATCAGCCTACAGATCAAAGAAACATTTTCTAGCCGTCGTATACAGGAACATTGTGGTCACCCTGAGGAATTCTGTCTGCCTCCTTTCATAAATTCTCCTGAACTAATGCACACCCACAAACCACTTCTGGATGCAAACTTTTCCATGTCCAACCACTTCTGGATGCAAACTTTTCCATGTCCAAAACCAGCTGTCCAATACCGCCAGTGATTTTAAAATCCTCCCTGGTGCTTTTCATTTAACGTGGCATTCAGTGTTGTAAACCAGAGGACGTGCCCCGAACAAGTGTAGGTCTGTGCAGGGAAAAGCAGCATGATTTGCTTGCCTATAAATACCCACCACAATGTGGGTATTCATAGAATATGGAAGGGACCCATAAGGATCATCAAGCCCAACTCCCAGCTCCTCGCAGGACTACCTAAAACTAAACCATATGACTAAGAGCGTCGTCCAGGCGCTCCTTGAACTCTGACAGGCTTGGTGCCGTGACCACTTCCCGGGGGAGCCTGTTCCAGTGACCGACCACCCTCTCAGTGAAGAACCTTTTCCTAATGTCCAATCTGAACTTCCCCGATGCAGATTCGGAGGCAAGCAAAGCTAATACTACCAAAAGGAGTGACAGAGTACCTGCCACCATCCGTTTCTCTGCTGAGTAGATCATGCGAGTGCAATCAACAAGATTAGTTTAAATTATGGATTAACTGGACTCAGGTTGCCTGTAGCAGATTAGCGAGCACTCAAACGACTCTTTTGGCAGCAAAGCTGCTTCCAGTAGGCGAGCAAAGATTATTCCGAATAGTAACAAAACTGAAGAACTACAGACCTGATTTCAGTACTGCAGAGCCAACCTATTTCCAGCCAAACTCCACAGGGGGCTGGGCATACCCAGCATAAATAAGAAACCTAACCCAGATGTTTGAGGGGGAACTTGGACAGAAAATGTATGGAACCTAAAACCACACAGATGTAGAAGACTTCCAGCATGAAGATGCAAGTACAGACAAGCTGTCCGAAGGGAGGCCCGTGGCAGATGTGAATGGCACTAGGGAATTCTTATTTTGTTTCATCCCTAAACACTCAATTGACAGATTTCTGCATAGCCAGCAGCTATGCCAGGAGCATTTTTGGATCCCCATGTTCTAAGCAAATCTTCAATTGCTCAGAAAGTTGGGACTTTTTTGGTTATATAAAACAGCTTTAATGACTGTAGGACCAGAGACCTTCTAAACAAAGCACCAAAGAACCACCACCTGATTGCAGAGATACAAGACTAAACAATTTACAAAAAACCAAGCCAGTTCACAACACTATCTCATTCTCTTTAATAAAAGTGGCCAGTGTTTTTCATTTGCTGTGCAAACAGAAAGCAACAGTGCGTTTCCCAAGGGAGGCACTCTTGTGCAACTGTTTACTAGAGGCAATCGGCCAACTCCAGAGGACTTAGGAAGTCAGTCCTCTTCTCCCCCCACCTCACTCAACTTACTGTAAAAGGGTATTGTAAAAACTACTTGGACTGGCTTTTTAAATCCACAGCAAAACAGGAGCTAAAGAGCTCAACCGCCTGATCCACAAACTTTCCCAACCGAGGGCAGAACAAATATGACTGCTTCTTGTCAGCATCTCGCTAGCCATATAAATGACAATATTCTTCTCTGCTAATATACTGCAACTTTAACCCAACAGTGATGGCTTACATGCGTGAACATACTGTTTGCACTGACTCTTCCTCCATGCGGTCTTCAATGCCCCTTAGCAATGTCCCAGTGGCTGAAGCCACTCAAGCAGACCAAAAACGCATCACAGGCAGCAGTCTAAAACAGTTGATCCTAATGCCATGGTTTTCTCCATTTGCAACATCTTTCCTCTCTGCACACTATGCTTCATGACAACTGGACAGGCAGATTATATTAAAGCTCATACATACCTTTTCAAATAATTTCTCATCAAGTCTCAGTGGGAACTAATTGAAGATTAAACTAATCATTCCTTGAGGCCTCTGACGGAGTGTTTTATCACTTTTTGTGAATGCATTATGGAGAACTTAAGTGAAGTGCTGATCTGGCAGGACCACTGAACACACGAGCTGGAGTGGCTGGACATGTCTGGCCCATGTACTTAAAACACAGGAAAGAAATGGAGAACAGCGGTGTTGATGCTGTCCCAACTCAAAACTGGGAAATGAGGACTTGGGACGTCCTTAATAAATGGGACAAGAAAAACCCTTATCCATTTCTTCTGGCTGTAAAAACCAGTCTAGCAAAACCACGATAGTAAACATTGTCCAAAATATCATCCTGCCCTTCTGGAAACAAAGGAGCAAGTCTGACAAGAGCTGTTTGACATTACGTGAAATATTCCTGACAAACACTCTCAACTTCTCTGCCTCCTGAAATCTGGAGAATACCACGACGCCCAGCCAAAACCCAGCTACCGTAACTCATGTGGATCCCTGCTTTAACCTGCTTCCACAATAACCAAATTCTTTCATCGGCTGATCTGCAGCTCCATCCCTGACCTCTGATCTGCACAGCGCCTCTCTGGGTATTGTACATGGCTATCAGATAACGACAACTGACATCCAGACTTCCACCAGCCTCTGGGTAAAAGCTGTAATGCTGGGTCATGGCAGACCCCCAGACAAAAAAATTAACGTGCTTTTTCTGCAGTGCCTTGCAGGGTTAAAAAGTCATTTAACCAGAGATGAAAGCTGAAAGAAAGGTCCAAAAAGGTTTTGAAGCAACAGAAAATACCCCCTGGAATGTCAGAACCAGATGCTTCACTTAGTAATAAAATTCATGGTCCCAAAAGCAGGATCAGATATATCCTTACTAGTGTTTGCTTTAACAGAAATACACATTTTCAGGTTTCTTCTGCTGTAAAGGCAGAAGAGAATCCTGAACACTGGTCACCACAACTAGTGGGAATATTTTGGGAGTATTTTATACATCTCATTACTGTAAATGTTTTAGAAACATTGTTGTGCTCTGTTCTACTCTGCCTTCCTACGTCATTTTTATCTTACAAACGAGAACTCCTTCAGGCAAGCATCACAGGCAAGTTCTCGTCTAAGCATTTAAAATATTACAGGTGGTGTGAGTTATCAGTCAAATTTTCTGGAGTCACTCTCACTTTTAAGATAATTTAGATGCTTCCCACTACTTTCGACATGCTACAATATGGGAAAGCAAGATCAGCTTTGTTTTAGATTATTAACATGATATGATTGCAGCGCACTCAGAAATGGTCAAAAATGAACTCTCTCTTTCATTCCCAAATGCTCCGTTCTGTATGAAATCAAGTAGAACAGTAAGTAAAGCTTGTGAATAACATTTTTGTTTACATTTGCCTGTGTTAATTATTGTCAGAGAGCCAACATCTGTGCCGCTGCCTATTTTATTTATATACACACATATATACATATACACACACACACTTTTTAGATCTTTTTATATATGTATACACACACACGTGCATTATTTTATCTGGCTGATTTCTAATAGCAACTATTCCAACATAAGTCTTGGAAGAGGAGAGGAAGGGACAGCTAAAGGAAGACCAGGCCATCGCCTCACAGCAGAGCCCAGGGAAACCTCACTATGTGCAGAATAACACTCAGGAAGTGGAAGAGCATCGTATTTTCCCTCCAAAAATTTGGAAGTGCATTGCATGTCCCTGCAGACTCCGCACTGTCTCAGGACAAATCCGAGACTGCTAAAAATCAAAAACATGCTTGGATGCCACAAGTTGTTTTTATGTGTGCTGTAGTTTTACATAAGAATCACCAAAAAGAAATTGTTTTGTCTTTCTTTAAGCAATATTCTCATCAGAAAATTCTGCATGTAAAAACTTGAGGAGACAATGAGATCGACTGTCAGTCCATTACAAGATTGTAAGAAGGCATGTCCACCATGAAGGAGGATGCAAACCCAACAAAAAGTTGCTGGATTCTCAAAACCATGAAAAAATGTTTAAAAGTCAACAAATTTTAAAATACACCCCTTCCAGTCTACTAGCTAACATCTCTGAAATGGTCCAGTCACACAGCAACCTCAGAGCCAGTGCATCAGGAGAAAGCAAACAGGGTCAAGGACAAAGTACTGATCAGTTAAACCCTATAAAAACCCAAATCAGCAATGACCACAGAAAGCAGGTATTATAACGTGGTCTCCTCTATCCACGAGGTACAAACCTGTGAAGCGACTCCTTACAAGGGACTGAAACAGTGACCAACTTGACCTCCTCTGGCTGAAGAGAAGACAACACAGCAACTTTCCCACACAGAAACTGCAGCCCTGAAACACTCGGCCCCGTTCCCTTGCCCTGCTTTTCAGAGGTGGAGCAGAAGGGAGGCGCAGGCTCAACACACAAACCCACACTTTTATAGCTTTGGGGGTTTTACGGTGTGGAAGAAAACCTTCGGTACCTGCTGTCCTAGGAACAGAAGATCCTCCATGAGCCTTGAAGTCAACGCAGGAGTCCTCACAGCAGATCACCGACCCGGTGCAGAACTTCGTGTCTGGGGGAGAAAGAGTTTGGCAGAACAACGCACCATGTGGGGAGGGGAGCGAGGAAATATTTCAGAGCAATTGAGGAGGAACATCAGCCATGCTTAGCCAAGGTTATCTTGTAAAGGTCTAGATGAGGTGGGTTTAGTTTAGTTTGCAAACTCTAGCCTTTCAAATAGCACGGACAAATACATTCCCCATGCTATACAGTCCCATCATAAATGACTTGAATTGGCCTGTAAGCCTTCCAACAACCTCATTCCTGTGTGCTGAAAGCTACTTACTTTAAGCCAAAAGAATATGACAAACATCCTCATCCACATATCTTACCACTGCCAGCAAAAAGTCTCTCATAATAAAAGACATCCCAGCCTCACCCAGGACACCAGCAGATACAATTTTTCCCTACTTTTCTATCAACTGCCAAACTCTTCCATTAGTGAGCTAATGCTCAATGCTCAGCCTGCTGTCCTTCAGAGGATCGCAAATCTTTTTTAAAACATGGTAGGTCCTGAAGGTATTGTTATCTCTATTTTACACAAGGAGAAGCCAGAGATAGCAAGAGAAAAAATTTCAAAAGCTTCTAAATGACTGTGAAACTGAAGTAATTTTCAAAAGAGAATTGGACACGCCAGAGGTGAAGTCAACCTTGCACGTCCTTTAGTCACATCTCAAAATGAAACATGCTTTCAATTCACTTAAGGCAAAGTCCTCAAAGCCACAGAGGTACCTAAAGAATATCGCAATGGGAAATGATTTCCAAGCCTAAGACGCAGAGCTAAATTAGCCATGACTTCTCTGCTCCTGCAAGAAAATAACTGATTAGGTGTCTAACAGTCCACAGGAACCCATTTTTTTCACCAAAAGAAGGTATTTGAGTACCTCAAGTTTTTCTTCCTCTGCGCTGTGATCCCACCATTTTGGCTGAGCTGAACCTCTTAGCACTTACACCTGTGAAAGCCCACTTTGGATTGGGAAGTTGTGAGCACAGCTAACGCTCCTCAGCGCGGCTCTGGCGTCGGTACGAGGGAGCAGCCGCTCTGACTTTCATTTAAAGACATGGCTAGAGGAAGAGGGTGTGGTTGGGGTGGCATGAAAATAGCACCCGCCGCCAGGGCAAGGTGGTTGCAACCTCTCCTCGTGGAGAGAGGTGCTGGGTTTGGACTCTGCCTCCGGGGCCGGTTTTGATTTTTATCCAGCGATGTTTTCATGCAAAGCGTGTAATAAGCAGCCTTGGTAATGCCGCCAGATACCTGCTCCTCCCTTCAGGGGAGGTCCCAACCGGTAGGCCACAGTCAGGCTCCCACTTGCTTCTCCTCTCCGGCTCTGCGAATCCTTCTCTGCACCGTGGCACAACTTCAATAGGAAGGGCTGAGAGGTTGCCTACAGCCTGGGAAGGGGCAGGTGGATTTGAATATCCCTTGGGAGAAGGAGGATGCAAACCCAAGTTCGACCACTTCTGAGACGAGTATTGTAACCATTAAGTTATTATATGAAAACCACCACACCAATCATTTGTATCTTAAACAGCGAGCGCAAGGCTGTGAGCCGAGGCTTTGGCAACAGGGGCAGGTTTGACTCCCCTGGCCAGGTTTGGAGCTAGCAGCATGTGGGAGCTGCTCGTGGGATGCAGCGTGAGAGCTGGCACGGGGATGGGAAAAGAGTACCCAGGAGCCTAAGCAGATATCAGTGCAGAGAACTCAAGGGACAAGTATCAGGGAGGGAACAAGATCCTGCAAACAAGCCCTCCTGAAATCACTGGAGGTCATCAATTCCCACCATTCAAAGTCCTAACCTATTACTTCAGGGTTAAAATGTTTTTAGTTAAAACTAAAAATCTCTTCTGTCACGACCAAAGTGCTTTTACCTTGAATTTTTAAGTGTTTAAGCTGAGGTTAAAATTAGTTTGGGCTCCTTGACTGTTAAGCAGATCATAAAACTCTCTGTAGTCCAATAGGCTACAGAAAATTTCTGTAGTTTTACTAACTATTGTGTCTCTAGCCTAGCTTCCTGCACCTTCTTCATCCTCAAACTAAAAGAGTTCAGCTGCAAAAATTTAACTAAGGGGGTTTCTTAAAGGAATTTTTAAAGTAGCTGTTAGCCAATGTGTTTTTAATCACAAACCAATGCAATAAAGTAACAGCTAGCTCTATGTTTAATTGTTAGAAAAGAGTATGTTTGTAATTGAAGAGCAAGTCTATACATGTGGTTTTAAATCCTGTGAGCCTGATTTTCTTCAATTTTGTTGTTTCTTCCAATTCTTTAAATATGTATTTGAAAGAAGTTGAAGGGCAAATAGCACTTTTTGGAAGTTGCAAATAAATCTTTTGAGAAAATAAGTACTTTTTAATCTCACTGAAGTACACTAACCATAAAAATAGGAGCTATACAGTAGAAAAGGGACACTGACAAAACAGGAGGTATCCCTCTACAGAGGGATAGATGAGTAGGCTGAGTAAATGGAAATATTTGCAATTCATTTTAGACATTTGTCAAGATAATTTTGTAGGTAGATGTGTGCGGGAGCTGCAGAATTTGTTTCAGGCCCACTCGGAAATAAAGTCTGACACAAATTTTTGATTCAGATTTCAGACTCGGCAACATAGTCATTAGTTTATCCAACAGCATTAAAAGCTAACAGCAAGTGCCCCTAAACCTCCTCCCACAAAATAAGAAAGTTGCAGCTAAAATTCTGCATCATTCCACGCCAGTGATTTTTAGACAGAATTTCCCACTCACCTTAACAAGATGACAATAAAAATCTCTGCCAAGGAATACAACCTCCTTAGTGGACTCCCACAGCTCTGAAGACACCTGCTGGTGGGATTTGATATCCTGTATCCAGAGCATCAGAAAGTGTTTGGGAGGCTTGTGTTAGGAAAAAGTACACAGTTGTACAGAGATTAAATTCCTTAGAGGGTTGGGGTTTTTTTTAATTTAAGAAAAAAAAGAAGAGAGGATCCTGCATTTTTACAAGCCTGAGCATAAGGACACAAGCACACCGTTCGGTCCTTCCAGCCAAGCACCTGTTGGCTATAGAAGAAATACCATACAGTTGTGTCTCCACGGGCTTGCTACAGCCATTTTTGCAGCATTTGCAATGGTGTGGGAGCATTACAAAGTTTAACATTGCTTTTGTCATTTGGAGAGCAATGCTGGACAATCCTGCTTGCACGATCTCATTATTTAATTAAATATCCAAAAATTAATTATACCACATGGCAATACACAGTGCAGTCTTACCAGTTTTAGTTTTAGAATCTAGTTCAGTTTTCAGCATGAATGACACTGCTGAACAGGGAGGAAAAGGTGGAATGAACAGGAGCAGGACAGCTGTCTACTGCAGTGTAAGCAGAGCTGGACAAGCTTAATGCATTCAAATCAGAGACCAGACAATTCTCTGGCAGCATTTGAGAAATACATGAAAAAGCTGTATGCCATGGTGCCAGCAGCAGTAGAAGACTGAACATGGTGACCCCAGGGGTCCTTTCCAAGTCTATGTTTAAGTTCTCTTGGCACAGAAAACATTCTGTATGTATTATCATTATGGCAGCTTTTCCGTGTACCATTTCTACTTCTACTGTATTCAAGACACAGTTACCACACTGTGCAACACTTGGGCATATTGTGGGTTTACACACAAATCTAAATTTATTTATTTTTTTATTTTAAGTTGTCTGTAAAGTCTTTAACATCCTGTTTATCTTCTGGACCACTACTAAGGATTGAGCTGATATTTTCCAAGAACTATTCAAAATGACACCAAGATATTTTTCCTGAATGGTTACATCGCTGTGGATGCATAGGTACGGTTCTTTTCCTTTATGCATTACTTTGAAGTTGTCTAGATTGGGTGAGAAAATGGAGAAGAATCTTCACAGCCAGTTTTAATTTTGACTACCTTGAAAAGTTCTTATAAAGTTTGTCAGCTCTCCTTTTTTCCTAAAACATTAGTAGATAATTTAACAGTTGAGATACCAACAGAGACTCCTGTAGCCTGGTGGCTTTCCTGCAATAGGTAAACTGATGATTCAGTTCCTACCCTCTGTATTATTACGTTTAACTAATTAGAGCCATAACCAGTTCAAAAACTACAGGAGCACTTTCCCTTTTATTTCTTGAGAATTTAGGGGGTTTGATGACCATTAGTAAGGGACCTTGGAAGACCAGCTATACCTTATCAACTGAATCACCCATGGGCTGCTAGGCTTCAAAGCACACAGACTTGTGACAGCTTCTTCTACAAAATCCATTTTGACATTTACCCAATATATCGTATTTCCTTTTTGAATTCAAGTCTTCATTTTAGCTTCCATAAATTTGCCCAAGGAAGGCTAGGTGTACATAGCCCGTTAAACATCAATTACATTTGCCACCTTCACTTGCCACAGCAGTTATTTAATTCATCTCAAACAAAACCATTAATTTGACAACTCCACATTTGGGACTCTTGGGTGGCCACCATGGCTACCACCTATTTTTATCAATAGTAGTATGCATTTTATCCAATCGTTCTAAACCTGTTCTGCTGACACTTCAATTTAAAACAGCTCTTTACACTCTTTCAGACACCAAAATGCTCCAGAAGAGAAAGCTCCCCGACATCCTTTATAATGAACAGCAAAGATTTTATTTAGCCTTTCTGTAACAGCCCTATGTACTTTGAGTGTTCTTATTACACTGCAATCACCTATCAAGCCTGCTGATGGACAGGCTTCCTACTCTTCATGTGTTTGAAGGGGTTTTCTCATTGTTTCTGTGAGTTTAGCAAGTTGTTCCTCAAAATTGATTTTACCTGCCTTGTTTAACTTGCCCTATTTAACTTGAATGCATGCTCTTTTCTATTTTCTCTGTTCAAACATGACCTCCACTTTCTGAAAGATGTCTTTTGACTTCTAACATCTCTCTGCTCTTCCACTGAACAATACCAGCTTTTCAGAGACTTCTG